CCACACTTTGAGCAAATTAATTCCCCAAAGGATATAATAATTAAAATGTGTTATTAGTAACAGGGTGACTTTAAACATTTTGTTGGGCAAATATAGCTAATTACAGAAGATGTGCAGAAGCAGGGGTCTACCCTGATAATCAGCTGTACCTTCCATCATGTTTAAACAGTTTTCACAGAATTTCTGTTGTTAAAGGCATCATAAAGGTCTAGAATAAACATAGAATTTTGCTGGAGATGTAAATATAAACATACAGAGAATATTTGTAAAAATACCAAGCTCATCAGCCTAGCTAACCTTAACTAGAATAAAGCAGAGCATTCCCTATTTCTGAGCTTGAAGTGTAGGTTTTTTTTTTAACGATCGGCTAGAAGCACAAGAAAGGTTCACATAAAATTCAGTCTTCCATATCTCACTGCTAAGAAACATCCCTAGGATTATTGCCAGCTTGTAAACTATCAAGTTAATCATTTCTCTGCTATGGTTACCAGTCAATAGTAACATTTAGTAACTGGGAAACTATGTTACTAAATGAATGCTTAGATTTATTAGTTTTATTTGGCAACATGAAATGTTAGTTTAAATTAGTAGAGTATAGTTTGAAGATTTCAAGTATAATATAAAAAAATATAAGCTAGCCATATTAATTACCACCAAATAAAACTTACCAGCTTGTTCAGAAAAGAAATATCAAAGGCTAGCTAATATTATACAATTTGGCCAAGTAGAGCTTATTGAAAAAATATTGCATGCTTGGATGGGGTCTGTCTGTACAACCAGCTAAATGTAGATTAATAACTAAGAGAAGGAGGGAGTCAGAACTGCAAGAAACTGCATTGCAATACATTAATGTAGACAATCCACAAAGTTTCAAATGTTGTTTTGAAAACTTCCTTCCTCTTCCTGTGCTATGACATTTGACTATGTAAAACCCAGTCACAAAGTCCATCATACTGATAACTGCCTGCATGCATACATTACTAGACAAGCTTCATGTTAGCAAAGTATTGACAATTTCAAATAAAGCATCAACAATGCCCTTTTTTTGAACCAGCTGGACTGTGTGTGTGAGTGTGCATGACTATCCCTGAAATCATATCTGTCTGCAGTTTCCAAGCCCTTGCAAACAGATGAAAGATAAATACCAATATGGAGGGATCAATTTGACCTCAGAGAAGCCTCTCTCTCTGTTTCCGCCTCTCTAACAGGACACCGTGAGTCAAATGTAGCCACAGTACTAAGGATCTCCAACTTGCTGTAATCTCCTGTACATTAATTATTGAGCTCTGGAGATGGGAGGTGGGTGTACATATAACATCAAGGGAGTCATTGTCATTGGAGTATGTGTGTGAATGCATGCATGTGTCTGTATTTAAATCGTTATGTAATAAACTGGTATGAATTTGTGTCAAAATTCATCTGCCTTCTACCCGGCATACTGTACAGTGTATACCTGCATATAGTGGTTGGTGGTGCATGTGTTTTCAGACTGGTGCACATTCTGGTGCACACATTCTGTGTTTTCTAGACAGTTGGTATGTCTGAAATGTTGCAGTCACCTGAGATTTAGCCTAACATCTAATTAACACTGTATGGCTATGTGAAAAACAGATGGGGAAATTTTAATTTGACCTTGTATCCTGAGGACTGTTTCCAATGAAAGCATAAGGCAGCAGCTGTAATGCTGCTAATTCAGCATTTTGCTTTGGTTTCTAGTACTAAAACTATAAACTCAAACAAGATTAGTTACAATTTTGTACACAGTCTCCTGCCAAAGTGTTTTTGGAGATCTGGCACTGGAGATGCACTTTCTATGTTCTACCCTTCATGTGCCTTCAACCTGGTGGGCTGTTTGCGGCTCAGTGGTGTAGCTGCTTATTGCGTATTATTCTATATTACATCCCCATCCATTTTATATCGTTGTGCTCGAATAAGTGGATAAGAAAGAACAAGCTGGAAAAGGAGACATTGCAAATAACAACTAAAAACCATACATAGATACACTTGGCCTGGAGACTTCAAGCCCTATGGGGGAACAAAACTCAAAGTTGTGCTATGACTCATATGTTCAGAGGTGTGGGCTTTCAAGCTTCTATATAAAACTGTTCTTTAATGTGCTATAGGAACAGAGCTGTCATTTAGCTCAGAAATAAGACCAACAGCTCCTGAGATCAAACTTATGCTATCTCCTTTCTTGCGTTGAGCAGAGACGTAATTGCGCTGAGGACTGTTTTCCTTAATTGCACCGAGGACTGCTGTCCTTAATTGCACTGAGGACTGTTGTCTCTTCATGGCTATGCTTCATCAAGTGATTTCCTGAATGAGAGAGTCATCAGTGCCCATGAAGTAGTGAACATGGATCAGGCAGCGTCTGCCTCTGATCTGGGCTTTAATCATTGTATTGACAGGAGAATTGGCTATAAAAGATAACTGACTATAAAAGGAGAATCAGGAGATGAAGCAGAGAGGAAATATTAGGCCAGGAAAGAAAAGCAGGCACAAGAGAAGAAGAAGACTTACTTTCTGACATTTAAGTGGCTGTAATGTGCAGGAAAATGGCTCATGATTAAAGATTAGGAGTAATGAATTAGGCCAAAAATAGGCTGAAAAGACAAAAAGTGAGACATAAATAAATGGACAAAGAAGCCACATCAGCCAATGACTAAGAAAGACTGTAGGTAAGGAATGAAGGAAACAGAGGTCTGGGGAAAACAGTGGAAGAAACAAGCAGGTAGTGTAAGTGCCACACTAGTGGCAGACGAGCATTTCCCGTCATCATAACCTGGTGAGCAGTGAGCGGGTTGTCATGGAGATGGTAGGCGGGACGGTGTGATCTTTTCATGGCAGCGTGTTCACACGCTCTTATGCCAGCAAGGGAACCCTGCACTGTGTTTGCCAGAGCTGGAGCAGTCTCAAAATCCACAGACAGACATACTGTTACAGAACACAAAAAATGTGTCCAGATAATTTAAAAAATATTTCTGAAAAATCCAGTCAGTCTCACATTGAAGGAACACATCTGATGCTGGGATCATTTTACACTGATGTAATATGGGGAAAATCCATAACAATAAGAGCCCTACAGTGTGGTCAGAGATATGCAGAAATACCTTGTGCTATGCCACCCGACCGCCTTTTAGTGGCAGTGATAAGAGAATAAAGCACAAGAGCCAGTCACTTGATCCTGCATGTAGTAGAATGGACGCATATACAGTGGGGAAAACAAGTATTTGATCCCTTGCTGATTTTGTTGGTTTGGCCACTAATAAAGACTCGATCAGTCTGTAATATTAATGGTAGGTGTAGTCTAACATGCTGAGACAGAATATCACAAAGAAAATCAAGAAATCGACTTTAAAGAATTTGTATTAATTTATTTGCATTTTATTGAGGAAAATAAGTA